CAGAATAATGAGGCCCAAATATTATTGTTAGAGTTCTTCATTTGCCTTATTGAATATTTGTATGTGAGAATTTGCAAAGTGCTTTTCAATAATCCTTTCTCTTTTGCTAATGAAATGACAGCATTAGCAGGGTTCAAGCCCATGAATATTGATGCTAAATTTAGCCTTCAGGAACTTCTCCGCACCAGGGGGTCTAGATTTGTAATTCCAGCGATCCTCCTGCAGGGGGCTGCCTTAGTGAGAAGGTCAGGGGCAGGGCATGTCTCCTGATTCGATTCCTTATTTCCTGCTGTCACAACCACTCCACACTTTTGCTTTTTGAGATACATTTATAAATTGACTGAAAAAGTTTTAGAGAAGTAAGTTATGGGGGTTTGAGAAACTTAAAAGCTGTAGCCTACTGCTAAGCTTATCAAATGTTCCAAGAAGCTTTCATACTCTGATTATTATCTAATCATCCAGGAAGAAGTGCTGAACAGTTCCTTTGGTTACTCTGAGTCATGCTATCCTGTGTTGGCTCTACAGAGCACAGACACTGCAGGATCTGTTTGTCTCTTTTGGAGACAGTAAGGCAAACAGTCCTCCTTTTAAAGCTCGAGATTTGATGTAGTCAGGGAGTCCTTACAAAAGGTGTCTTGGAGTAATTGCTTACATAACAGCTGGTTGTACATGCCGGGGTGACAGAGGCCTAGCCCAAATGTGGCATTCAAAGGAAACTGCCTCTAGTGCAAAAAGCAATGATCTTCATATGTTTTTAGGATGCTGCTATTTTCATCCTCCCATTCTCCAGTCACAGATAAACCAAACAGACCCTTGTGTTTGTACCCAAATCTCTATGTACCAAATTAGTCCCTGCTGAAACTTCACAAGGACTCAGTTGAAATGAGATGATCAGGTGATTACATTAGGTAATTGGCACTAGGTGACTGGCATTTTTGTTAATTTGTTTCTGAATAGGGGCCGGCATTCTTTTAATTACAGGTGTTTGCAGTGTTGGCAACTTGGATGTGCCCCTTCTACCCCTCCTTTTCCTGAACTGTCATCTTTTACACTTGTGTATCTGTGTGTGTGTTTACTTAGCAGTGTGGGCCTGAATCTGGGGCTGAAGTGAATGCAGAAGGGCTTTGGGTCACATGGGTAATGAGCTGGACAGTGAGAGAATTTCCCGGCTGGCATGGGTCCTTGCTTTTACTAATGATAGAAATTAGAGTTAAAGCATGAATTTGCAGGAAAAAAGCTTTAATTGGAAAGCAAGAGAAGATGATAAATGACTTTAACTGGGGAGCTGATAAGCCTTGAACTGATCCTTATCAAAGAAGGTAAGAGAAAAAAGGAGGACTCCAGCTGGAGTACCTAGAGAGGAGTAGACTGCCCCTTCAAGAAAGCAGGAGGCCAGCTTTTAAGGATTAGCTGAGGATCTGATCAATCATAATCTCAGTCCTGATTCCTGGCTCTGGTTGAATCCTTGCGATATGTGGGGGCAGTTCATAAGAAACCTTATGATCAATTCAGTTCCCATAAGATGAACCCTAGTGATTTAAGGGGCAATTTCAGTCACCGGAGGGTGACCTTAAGTTTAGGGCACTGGAAATTCTAGGGGTAGCCAAATGTTTCTGTAAATCTCTTATATTGGTATCCATAGTCTTGAAGGGTAATGAAATAAGCTAAATAAAATTAGGGCTGATAAGTTTTGCCAACTTTTAGATAGACCTTTCCTAAATTGTTAGTATGCCTGTATGCAAAACTGAGAAGGCTTTGACCCGGAGTTTTACAAAATGAAGATCAAGCTTTTTTCTACTTTTAGTTACCTCTTAGGTATTTGTAGGCCCAAGTGAAGTCACAGTTTTTAGCAGAAACCACTTTTAAGTCTCTGCCTGAGGGGAAAAACACAGTTTTAATGAATAACTGGTTAAGGGCCCAGGAGTTAATTTGTCCTTTGTCCTTATGGTGGCTTCTGACCGTGTCATGGTGATATCAAGCATAGATTAGCTCAAATGGGTCCTGGCCCCTGAAAAAACATTGATGACATGAAGGGGTTTGTCCACCAAAGGCCTCATTCTTGTCTACCTCATCCACTCTTAGACCTGTCCGTGTGCCACTTCAGAGGAGGGGAATTTACCATTTACCATATCAGTCTCTCTAACCCTTCCCACTTTGTTGCTGGGGATTAAACCCAGGGCCTCTTGTAGGCTAAGGGTGAGCTCTACTACCAGTCCCATCCTTGATTTTTAATGCTCCTCGACTTCAAGTGCTAGAGGGAAAATCTGCAGAGGGAGTGATTATCTTAGGTGTTTGGTGTTGATTTAGTACATTAAATATTCAGATTTCTCATTTTATGGATACACATTTTCTTTTGTTTTTTAAGAGAGTCTTGCTATATAGTTCAGGCTGGCCTTGACTTCACTGTATAGTGCGGATGGCCTTGAACTTGTGGCAATCCTCCTGCTTCAGCCTCCTGAGTGCTAGGTTTAGAGGTCTTCACCACCATGCTCCACTGGGTACAACCTTTTCCATGTATCTCTAGCATCATACCACAGTTGAGTATTTTATGTATTTTTGGCTCTGAATGGTGGTACTTACTATCAAAATTCTGGCGTACAATTCTTAAATGTTCAATGTACTATATATTTCCTTGTTTGGGTAACTACACATTGATAATAATCATTTATATACTGTTGGGGCTGGTGGATTGAAGAGAGGCCTTGTCAGGCAAGGTTCCCAAAGAACATGTACAGAGCAGACATTATAAAGCAAAAGCCAACTTTAATTTCACAACATACCATTTCTAGTGGCTGTTATCAGTTTTTCTGAGACACAGTAAGATAAAACATCCACGCAACCTTGCATAGTTGTGTGATATGTTTGTGGTTGTCCACGCTGATTCATTTTTATTATAACAAAGCCCCATTGTGCACCTGTGCTAAATGATGGGAACGTGTCCTCAGGTGCCCTTGGATGTCCTCAGACTCCCAGGATTTTACACATCTCCCAGTGGCCTCCTCCGTGTACCCATCAGAGAATAATAATTTCTAACCAGAGAAGAGAAGAAAGTGGTTGATGTCTCTGACAATTACTATTACTTTAGAGAAAGGATTTTTTAAAGGCGGATTGGCATGTTGGTGACTTTATTTACATTAATGACATTCTCAAGCATTAGTGTACTATTCACTTGGTTCATATAGAGCCAAAAGAACTTAATGATGAACTTATTCAGTAAATAGCTTATAGAAGAGAATTTTCCACAAGTTGAAGTTTAACTTTTTCCTTAAACTTGCATAGCCAAGGAATTGACACATTTTATGGCACATTCACTTTTATTCTTTTGCAGTGCTGGGGATAAAATCCAAGGCCTGGTGGGCGCTAAGCACACTACAGCAGAGAGCTACATTTGCAGACCATGGGGAATATATTTTAAGAATGCAAACAGTTTATTTATTTTTATTTATTTATTTATTTATTTATTTATTTTGAGACAGGGTCTCAATCTATGTAGTTGAGACTGACCTGGAACTCACTGTGTAGCCCAGGTTGGTCTCGAACTCACAGCGATCCTCCTACCTCAGCCTCCCAAGTGCTGGGATTACAGGCGTGCATCACCATGCCCGGCTATGCAAACAGTTTATAACCTCTCTATATTTACCTTTTTGCATCCTAAAAGGATATTAACAATTCTGTTATTTTTGAGTGAAATAAGGTATCTCCAGAAATTTGGAAGCTGTCAGAATAAAACATGGTTTAGGACTTCAGTTTCGAGAAGTTAGCACGTGAAGTTCTCTGTTGTGCGTGGGACATGCGAGGAGGTACTGTTCTTGGGAGCTGTCAGAGGTCATTTCCTCAGATCTCAAGGAGTTCACCTGGACCCAGGTTCCAAGACCTCTACTGAAGCATGTTGGTCCCGTGTTCCAGGAGAAGGTCATCTACTGTGGTAGCTTTGGGCCCGGATTTAGTTCATTGGCACCTCGCCTACCTTGCAAGTGCAAGGTCCTGAGTTTGATCCCTGGTACGTAAATAAATACATAAATAAAATACTCTGGTGGCTTTGGTAAATTTCCTGGTAAACATAAAAAAACATTATCTTTTTTTCGATATATTATTTATTAAGTTATTAATATGGACAGTCTATTCAGCAACAATACAGATGCCTTTCAAAACCTAACAAAATATAGTCCACTATCCAGCCCAGGAGAAAGACAATAAACAAAATCACTCTCACAGTAAGTATAGCTTAAGCACTCACAATAGTCCTGTATTTGGATATCAAAGGAAACAGTCAAAAGACTGGGCTTTAGCTTTTTTTACGTTTTAGAGTCAAAACTCCAACTCAGATCACCTCCCGACATGATGTGTGGGATCTCATGCTGGAGAGGAAGGGGCTCTGGTGCCTTCTTGGTGGCCCATCCTCTTCCTCTTTAGTCCTTCCTCCCTGCCTGCTAGGCCAGCAGTGGTCAAACTTGGGTGCTCAGGGGACGCCAGTGGGTCCCAGGGAAAACCAACATTATCTTGAAGATGATCTTTCTGGGCCAGGGATTTAGCTCAGTGGTTCTGCTGCCTGCCAGTCAAATGCAAGGTTCTGAGTTCGATCCCTGGTACAAAAAAAAAAAAAAAAGATGATCTTTTTTATGGCCAAATGTAGAATATTAAATTTTTTTGGAGCTTATCCTTCATGCCCTTGCTTCCCACCATTAACATGGTAAATGAAGAATTTTGATGGCAATTTTGTTTCATTTTGTGCATTCAGAAAATATTAAATACTTGATGTATTTTGGGCACAAGCATATGTATCTCATACGTGCATGTCACATGTTGGGTAAAATAGAGCAGGACAGTCAGCTTTGTTGCCAGCCAGTCAAATCATTTAACCTCTGAAGGAAATCTATAAAGTGATGATGTGGTCCCTAATAAAACTAATATTTTGTGATATAATTTCTCTCTGTCTTATAGGCCCAAAATAGCACTATTCACATCTATTCTCTGAGGCTTCCTTTCTGCTTACTTTTCAGATATGTGAAAATAAAAACTGGAGAATGGTTCTTTGAGGAACGAGCCAAGAAATTTCCTACTGAAGGTAAATGCTTTTAGAATTTTCATTCAGGGAAACTGATGCATTCCTAGCTTTAAAATATTTGGTGCTAAGACATTAATTATGAAAAAACCTTATGGACTTGGAAATGCCAAAAGACAAAATTACAACAGATTTTCTTATGAATCTAATGGCTTTTTCACAGATCATGGTCAGACCACCTCTACTTTACAAAACAGAGCTCACACTGGGCAATAAAAGGATAGTGGGATTTGTAAGGTGAGAACAGGGAACAGAACAACAGAAGAAAAGCTGATCAGCTAACAGGTTATATTTTGGTAAGGATTAAAGCAAAAGGAATATTCTTAGTACATGGACTCAGGTAGACTGGAATCTCCGGTTTTTGGGGGAAAACTGGTCTATTTGAGGATCTACCTGCTTTTTTAGAGCTTCATTTTGATTATGTACTGTTTAGCATGAATGGCTCCCTTTTGTTTGGTCTCTTCTCTTAGGATTTAGTACAGGAGCAATGGCCTCTGTAATTTCTTTTTTATTGTATATATGGTGTACAGGCCCCCATGTCTTGTTCTCCTGTTTTATTTGCTTGGGCTTTGCTCACACCATTCGTCACCTTTGCTTTTGTCTTTCCCCTCTCTACTGTCCTTTGAGCCGGCCTCCTCCTGCTCCATGAAGTTTCCTGACTTCCTGCTTCATGGAGTGACACTTCCCTCTGGAACACCAACAGCTTCTGGGTTGTGCGTTTCTTCCACAATTATTTCAAGATTTCTTTTTATTACAGAATTATCCATGCACTTCTATTCCTTTCCAAAAGCAGGAGGTGCTTTTAAAATCTCATTTGTCCCATAGCACCAGGCCCAAGTCTTTGTTCTTGATCCTTGATCGAAACAGTTGAATGACTGACGACTACGGGGAGCGAATAGCAGGAGGAGAGAGCAGGCCCAGATGCGTCTGTGGTGGGCACATGTGGAATGCATGAGTGGAAGTGTGCCTTTGGTCTGGTTACTGTGAAGGTCCTCTGATGAAGCACTTGCCATGTATGATGTGACCGTCTAATCGGTAGCTAAGCCCAAACTGGAGAGAACAAGTAGCGCTTTGACACACAAGTGAGCATGTCGCAGTGTGAACAAGACCCAGATGAAAGTGTACACAAACATCATCACAATCCACTGCTCTGTGGCTGTGATGGTGGGGACTTAGACCAACCTAAAAAGTGTGGGCTAACTTAGCACTTTCTCTAGAAAAAGTGAGTTTGAGGTAGAGAAACCGTCCCCAGAGTTGTGGACAATAAGAAAAGTCATTCAAGTGTTGATACTCGGCTTGTATACATGACACTGGTACCTGAGGTACAGGTTCAGTCAGTATTAAATTCTCCCCTAGATTATATTCCTGGCTCTTCTTACTCAAGAAAAAATAATGCTCTTGCGGAGTTCATTGGAAATCTGAAGGGAAGTGAAATGCTTGGGCAACAGAAGGAAGCAGGTGTGTCTGACTCCATCAGGGCCAGTGCTTCAACCCTCCCCCAACTCCAAGTAGCTTTGTTAGACACACTTTCCTGACGCTGTGCCCTGCATTTTGATTTTCCAGGTCAGGTGTACATGCTGATGTGCTGAGACCTTCTGGACAGCCACTCAGCTAAGATGTGTTTGTCCCCTGAGTACCAATTTCTGCCTTAAACCCCCCCCACTAACATTTAGAATGTATAATTGAGGCAAAGTCATACAGCACAGGGACTATCTGTCTTTATTACTTTGTTACATTTCTTCAAACTATGGTATTTGTTGGCTATCTAGAGCCTTTACTGAGTGGTAGATAATTCTCATATTTCCTCTGTCTCTGTCTCTCTCACCTCCCCTTCCCCTCCCTGTCCTTCTCTCCCTACTCCTCTCTCCCATTCCTACTTCAGAAACAAGACTGTAAAGTTTGTCATTTTGATACCAAGACATCTTGAAAACATTTTAGACATTGTTGGAAGTTTTAGCATCATTATGTTAGATAAGTGGATTCATTTTAGGCCAGGACATGTGTATGCACGTGTGTGTGAATGTGTGCCTGTGTGATATGTCTATATCTGCGTGAGTTTGCATGTGCATGTGTATACACACGTTATCTTGTCTTTTCAGTGCCTCTTCGTCTTCCGATTGGATGGGAGATGTGGGTCACCATGGTGACTTGCTGAGATAAAAAGGGGAGGTGGAAAGAGATAAAACTAACATTCCCAAGATTCCCTTTCTTGTCTAGAAACTTCCTATAAGAAAGAAAACATCAATTAGGAGAGAAGCCAGGCATGGTGGTGCATGGCTATAATCCCAGCACTCTGGGAAACTGAGGCAGGAAGATTGCAAGTTCAAGCCCAGCTGGACCAATTTAGCAACTTAGCAAGAACCTGTCTCAAAATAAAATAAAAATAAAAAGATGTGGGGATGTAGCTCAGAGTAAAGGTCCTGCATTCATTTCCCACTACTGCTAATAACGATGACAACAAGAAGAAGGAATTAAAGAATATCAATTTAAACACAAATTCTTCTTTTTTTTGATGATGTTATTTCTGCCAACATGTAAAATAAACACCAACAAACAGAAGAGCCATAAAGTTGTTCTCTACAGTGCGTTCCCAAATACTGAGATGTCTCCTGTTCTTTTTCTCCTACTTCAGTGGTGGGGTAGGGTTCAGGAGGCACAGAGAGTTGTGGAAAACTGCCAGGCAGGGTCAGCACAAGTAGTTCTATGAAGCAGACCGGGTGTGGATGAAAAGGAATAAGGGTCACCTGATAAAGGCTCATGAGGCTTACATGGATAGGCTGGAATCTGCCTACTCCTTCCTACCCAGAACAACAATGGACAAGTTGAATTACATTTATGTACTGTATTAATTAAGGTCTAGTGAAGAAAATAGAAACCATGTCGTTATTTGAACAGTGATGGTAAGCAGGTGTTACTAGGGGACTGAAAGAGCAAAAGGGAACAGTAAGAGGTGTTAACTGCAAGAAGCAGACACCATGCTGCCCTGCTGAGGCCATGCCAACCGGGCAGCAGGGGAGTGGGAAGGACTGGACCCCTCTCCCTCCCATCTGTGGGGCCTCTGGAGTCTCCATTATACCCTAATAGAGATCGAGCTGTAATCTTGTTTCTCTGATGTGTCCAAGAAAATAACATAGTTTTGTTATATTCTGTAGTATTTTTGTTATAATGATATGAACGAGGCTTTTTCCAGCCTCCTAAGCTAAAAACCTGGATGGTTTGAGCCATAATAGGCTTCTGAGGCAACTCAAATGTGTGCCCCTTTGTAGGCAATTGGCTATCTATCCCTTCACAGAAAATACCCCTAAAATTTAGTGGCTTACAGCAATGAACACTCTTTATGTGGCGTTGATCTTCAACTGAAGACTTGCCTGGGTCTGGAGGCTCTGCTTTCTTGGAGCTCATGCATATACCTGGCCAGGTACTGCTGGTGCTGGTGGGAGGACTCAGTTTCTCATTAAATGGATGCTTTCACAGGTCTACTTGGGTGTCCTCACCCGGTGGTTGGCTTCCCGCAGGTGTGTGATCCAAGAGAGAAGAAACACAGCATCATGTGATTTTCTTTATTTGGTGATGCTAAGGATGGAACCCAGGGCCTCACGTATGCAAGGCAAGGGCTCTACTGCTGAGCTAAGTCCCTAGCCCTGCCATATCCTGTGTTTGTTAGCTTCTGATGGCACAGCCAGTCATTTGTGCTGCCTCACAATGGCCACACAGGTCAGCTGTAGGCAGGGTAAGAGGGGTTACACAAGGGTGTATCAGGAGGCATGAATGAGGGCCATCCTGGAGGAACAGCACACCTCTCGTTCTGCCTCTCACCAGACCTGAGAAGCACACGGAACACCTGTCTTTCTCACCCGCCCCAGCATTCCCAGTCAGGAAATCCTGACACTTGTGCTTCCCGCGTCTGTTGACCCTCCCCTCTGTCCAAAGCAGCAGTTAGTTCCTGTTGCTCCCATCTGTCCTCTGCAAAGAAGAGCTTACTTTTCTTCTTCAAAAGGAGTTATTTTCTGATACTAGAAGTAACGTGCACATTGCAGAACATTTGTGTGCCTCTTTGCAGGAAATTGGTTATCTCTCTGGGAAACAGAACAAAGCACAGAAGGCCGTACAGATACTGCCATTATCCAACCTCCCCCACTTCCCGTCTTTTTCCTAGGCAATCATGGGCTTATGAGTATAGACTCGTCAGTTTGTAAATTCATTTATGATCAGGCTATGTATAGTCTTTTTTTTTTCTTCTGATTATAGACTGGTCTTTCTCAAAGACTTTGCAGTTAAATCTTTAGCTCTGTGATCTTAATTCTTTATATGCTGAAGTTGAGGTTCATCTGTGCTGCATCAAGACATCTGGGTTTTTTTTAAATGCTACAAAGCTTCAAATTTATTAGTAGACCTTTTCCTCAGGTGACCTGAAGAGCAAATAGGTTTTATTCTTCAATAATTGTCTGTAAATAAAGTATTTTTTGCATGTACGATATCATAATAAATAGAAAATTAATGAAGTTCATTCTTGTTACTTATAATGCGAGCTATTTCTAACAACAATTCTAATAACATTCCTCCTCCACTAGACTGTGGAGTTGTACTGGAGCAGGAGCCTGTTTTAGCCACCACAGCCCACTCTGGGTCCTCCTCATGTGTACCGCTCAGCAAGTGATGGGTCTCCAACCAGACTGCTCCTCCTGCGTCCCAGTCACAGGCAGCAAGCCCAGGGCTCTGCCTGCAGTGGGTTGAGCCAGGTGGCCCATTGAACCCAAGATGTTGTGCTTCAATGCAAGGGACTTGGCACCCAGCTGGGAATAAAAGAGGCTTCCAGTACCCCAGACCTCAGTCCCTGGTGCCAGTGATGGGGTCACAAATGAGCCCAGCCCCTCCTGCTTTTTAAAAAATCTTGTCCACTCAGTGTGAGTAAAGGGCATCTTGCTGCCCACCACAGGTATGCTGGGGCCACTAGTGGTGCAATCCAAGGCAACCGTGAAGGAGGGGGTCACGGTGACCGTGGG